CCGGGCTCGGGCCCCGCCCAGCCTTGGCGTCCGAACGCAGCCGAGGGACCCGAAGGAGCAGGGACTGGCTGCTGGGGATTCGGGAGTCTGACAGGGACAGATAGAACTCCTTAGTGTTTATTCACTTCATGGCGTTTGGACACAGACACCCGGGTTAAGGACCCGGAAGGTACCTTCAGAAAAAATGGCGGCAACGGGGCTTTAATTGTCACTGGCTGCCCTTAAGGGCGCCATTCCTCGAGCATACCAAATATGGCGCCTTTCTGGCTTCTCTGGCCTCACCGTCCCCCTTGCCCTTACATACAATGGCCGTCTCGGGTGCCTTTTATGGCTAAGGGGCGTGCTGGGAAGTCGAGGGGAGTCTTCTTGCCTTCAAGAAAAATGGACCGGTCCGCAGCTTCGATGACCTCTCTTTGGCGCCCATAGATAGCGGCCGCTGATTGGTTGCGACCACAGAAAGAAGCTGCGCTGTGATTGGCCCCGGGCTGGCGGGGCGTTTGAAGGATCCCGGGGCCCCGAAGCCTCTGTTGACAGACGAACGCTTCGGGGGACCTCGGCTTCTGTGGTGCCCGGGATGGTGTCCCCGACGGTCTCCCGCCTGTCTCCGGAGGCAGGATCTGGAATCTGGGTACCAGCTCCTGCGGGAAGACGCACACGCCCTGGCAAAGCGTGTTGACGGTTAGGAGCGCGGCTGCGGAGCTCAGTCTCCGAATGCGAGCTGCCGGCCAGCGAGCCTGCTTAACGAGAATGGAATCAGAACGGGGAAATGTTAAATTACGTTGTGATTTTTGCCAAATTAATTGGTGAAAGGATGGTTTTTAAAGAGTCATCCACATAGCCGGGCGCGGTGGCTCACGCCTGTAATCCCAGCACTTTGGTAGATGGAGGCGAGAGGATTGCCCAAGTCCCGGGCTTCGAGACCAGCCTGGGCAACACGGGGAGACCTCGTCTCTATAATAAATAAAAATATTAGCCGAGCGTGGTGGTGCATGCCTGTGGTTCCAGCTACTTGGAAGGCTGAGGCAGAAGGATCACCTGAGCCTGGCGGGTTGAGGCTGCGGTGGCCATGAGCGTGCCACTGCCCTCCAGCCTGGGCAACAGAGTGAAACTCCGACATACGTACATACAGAAATATTTAAAAATTAGCTCTTCGCGGTGGCTCGGGCCTGCAATCCCAACACTTTGGGAGGCCGAGGTGGGAGGATTGCTTGAGTCCAGGAGTTCGAGACCAGCCTGGGCAACATAGTGAGACCTCGTCTCTCCCCCCAAAATCAAAAAATTAGCTAGGGGTGGTGGCGCGTGCCTGTAGTCCCAGCTTGGGCGGCTGAGGCAGAAAGATTGCCTGAGCCCAGGAGGTCGAGGCGCTAGTGAACCATGTTCATGCCACTGCATTTCAACCTAGGCGACACAGACCTCCAACTCAAAAAAAAAAAAAAAAAAGGCTTACATAAGTGCTATAATGAAAAAGGCAGTCCCCTACACCCTTTCCAACTGCTCCTTAGAGGCAACTACTTTGAACTCTTTGTATTAATTTGAGTTATATTGTATATGCAATAAAATGCACAGGTTTTCTTTTTTTTTTTTTCTTTGAGTTGGAGTCTCACTCTGTCACCCAGACTGGAGTGCAGTGGCCGCTCCCGGCAACCGCAGCCTCAACCTGCTGGGCTCTGGCGATCCTTCTGCCTCAGCCTTCCAAGTAGCTGGAACTACAGGTGCGCGCTACCACACCCGGCTAATTTTTTGATTTATTGTAGAGATGAGGTCTCGCCAAGTTGCCCAGCCGGGTCTCGAACCCGCGGGCTCAGGCAATCCACTCACTTCAGCCTCCCAAAGCGCAGGGATTACAGGCTGAGCCACCGAGCCCGGCTATTGCACTGATTTTCAATGTAAAATTCATCGAGTTTTGGCAAATGTATATAAGCCGTGTAACCATTGCCCAAAACAAGATATAGGACATTGACTACACCTCTGAATGTTTTATTGTGCATCCTTTCTGGTCAATATCTTTTACTGTGGCAAAATGCACGTAAGGTCGACTAACCATTTTATTGTGTTTTTTTTTTTTGAGTCTTAGTCTCACTTTGTTGCCCAGGCTGGAGTGCAGTGGCGTGCTCACGGCCACTGCAGCCTCAACCTGCTGGGCTCAGGCGATCCTTCCACTTCAGCCTTCCAGGTAGTTGGAACTACAGTTGCAGGCCACCACGCCCAGCTAATTTTTCAATTTTTTGTAGAGATGAGGTCTCACCATGTTGTCCAGGCTGGTCTCAAACCCCTGGATTCAGGCAATCCTCTCGCCTCCGCCTCCCAAAGCGCTGGGATTACCGGCGTGAGTCACTGCGCCCGGCTGACTAACCATTTTAAACTGTACCATTAAGTCGCATTTAGTACATGCACAATGTGCAACCATCACCATTTTGCTTTCATCATTTCAAAAGGAAACCCCCTACTCATTAAGCAGCCACTCTCTGTTTTCCTCTCTCCTCAATCCCTGGCAATCACTAATCTGCTGTTCTTATGGACTTTTTTTGGATTTTTCATATAAATCATACAATATGTGGCCTTTTGTGTCTTCTGTCACTTTTCTCAAGGTTCATTCACGTTGTAGCATTTATCAGTATTGTTCCTCTTTCCTTTTGATGACTGAATAATATTCCACTGCATGTATATTTACTTAAAATAATTAAAATGGTAAATTTTATGTTAATATATTTTACCACAATTTTTTAAAAAGAGGATGAAATTTTGATACATACTACATCATGGATGAACTTTGAAAATATGTTAAGTGAAATAAGCCAGACACAGAAGGACAAATATATAATATATATGTTTTTTGAGTCTCACTCTGTCGCCCAGACTGAAGTGCAGTGGTACGCTCCAGGCCACCGCAGCCTCGCCCTGCTGGGCTCTGGAGATGCTTCCGCCTCAGCCTTCCGCCTCAGCCTTCCAAATAGCAGGAACTACAGGCACGGGCTACCATGCCC